CATGCTTATTTGATAGAATATAGATATTTGGAATGTTTATATATTTACCACATCTGTAGCAGCACTAATCTGATGACATTGAAAGTTTTGAGTTTAAATAATCACATAAAATGTTTGGCATGGTGTTTCATTCATGCTACAGTGCAATTATAGTGGCATTCGATCTTGCTAGCCTCAAAGCATGTATGGTATAGTTATGTGTGGTCTCTGTCACAAACTGCCGTTGAGTTTGCAGATCGGTATAACACCGCCCTCGTTTGCCACAGATGGTGCTTCCTGGCATGTCACCCTCGGCTATGGTTGCGAGTAGATCGGTCTGTGAAAGATTTATCTCAGCCTGGAGTTTTTCCCAGCATTGAAACAGCTGTCTCTGCTGCAAGGTTAGTAAATGTGCATCTGCTTATATTTGATACCTGGGTTATGCAGTAAGCCATGAAAAGCTAATCAAGAAGCCATGAAAAGCTAATCAAGACTTTTTCTCCTGCAGTCCTGGTGATACCATTCTGATTGCGGCTGGAGGAAGTCATGTTGCTTCTAATATTCAGATTAAGAAGCCACTTTGCCTGGTATGCTCGGATATCTTTCCTTGCAATGTCAGTTCAGTTTTGTTATATTTAGGTGAAAATTATATGTGTTATTGTTGTTGCACAAAGTGTGGTTGCTGAAATAGTAGGTTTATCCTTTTAGTTTCTTAATTTAGAACATACGTCCTTACAAAAATTAGGTTGGCCGGATCAGCATCTTATTTTCTTGGTACATTTGAAAACTGTTGTAATATAGTTAATACTATTGTTTCAGTAACTGCGCACTTGTGCATTTGTTTGTTTATTTTTAACTACCTGCATAATTTAGCTGATTAGATGGGTAATTTTTTTTTCCCCTTGAAGGGCTGACGTTTATCAACACTGTTGTAATATTTTGTTCTCTTTTTACTCATTAGATTATGCCTCTTTTTGCTAACTGCTATCAATGAATCTTTTTGCTTGTCTTGATTGATAAATATTTGTCACACAATGTGGTAGTCTTTATAATGGGGTTGGATTTGAGATTTTTTTCTTAGACTTTTAGCATTCAAAATGTTTTGTTTAGTTTGTTGAGTTTAAGGTATCATATTTTTGGCAAATAAACGCGAACTAGCTGCTTTGAGAAAATTAGCAGGAGGACTTGGGGCATGTGCACATTTAGGTTTGATAGAGTTGACTTTCATAGCAGATGTGCATTTAGGTGTTTATCAAGGAACAAAAAGTGCACGCTAAGAAAATATGGACCTCTTACTGGACTATACCCATATCATATCTACAACACACACTCTTAAAATAGATATTGCCGTTGAAACCTCAGGAGCCCAACCTGATCTCATTAACTTCTGTGCAGATTAAAGGAGAATAATTATTTATCTGTAGCAATATTACCGTTTGCATTTTTCTACCTCAACTTTTATACAGATTGGTGGGGGCGAGCTTCCTGACAATACAACACTCATCTGTTCCCGGGGTTCGGACAGGTCTGGTTATATTTTGTAATATTCTGCATTTTTTTTTTCTGAGTGGTGATCTTACGAGAGTTTTCTTGCAAAAGATAATTGAGGAGCCACCTTCAAGCTGGTGGATTTGGCAGATAACTTTAACTGTAGGACTTCTCCTCCAAGCCCCAAGCATGAGCTCTCAAGCACCCCTGAAAAGTTGCACGTGCTTATTCTTGGGGGCCATCCTTGCTTGGTTTGGGTGTCTGTTATTGTATTGTTAGGGGACAGTTTTGGACTGTGATATCAGAAGCTGTTATGCCTCTTGATTACTAAAAATGTTCAAATCTGTCTGCTCATCCCACATGTATGTTCTCCGCACGCCTAAACAGNGTACTAAAATTGTTCAAATCTGTCTGCTCATCCCACATGTATGTTCTCTGCACGCCTAAACAGTATACTCCAGAAGTCTTTTTTTTGTTGTTTTTTTTTCCCAGTTTTGAGAGTTTTTTTTTTTGGGGGGAAAGAGGGAGGGGGTTAAATATTTTTCTGTAGAAAATAAAACTTGCCTAGTTCATTGGCCCATAAGAATAGCTATCCACCAGCTTGGAGTGGGCTCTTGGAGAATAATCTAAACTATCTGGTGTACAATCTACAAGTTTTGTATGTAGTTGTTCCTTGTGTTTGAGCAGTGCACTGGAGTTCCTGTCAACCTGCAAACTGTCGAACTTGACAGTGAAAGCGGAACTAGGTTGCTGCTTGCTTCATAGGAGTGGGAGGCTGACAATTGATGGGTGCATTCTTCAATGTGAATCAAACCCATTGGATCATCTCTCCCATGCTATTGTGAGCACAGCCAGTGGCCCTGAGGTGCTCCAATCCTCATTGGAGAGTTGTGACAATCGTGTTTCTGTTTCTCGAACTCGAATTGAAGGCGGTGCAAAGGCTGTTTTGACAAGTGGAACCCTTGCGTTGCAGCGAGTTCGTGTCATTTATGCTCGGACTTCCCTCTTTTTCTGGTTTGATGTAGAGCATCGGTAACAATGTTGCTGTCCTAATGTTTTCTGTAAAATTATCAACTGTTGGATATTTTTCTTTCCTCTCTTTGCTTCTGTTCTTTTGTAATTTATGTGGACTGTTGTATCGATTTGGCTACTTTTTTTTTTTTTTTTTTTCATTTCTATTAACCAAGTTGTTGAAAATTCTCAAGGTAATTTTGGATAATAAACTGTAGAGCACCAGAAAGAATCCTCATGGACAATCCAGTCAAGAGGAGGCTGCATTCAGTAAAAGTTAGGCCTCGTTCGGTAATCTTAACTGAAAATAGATATCACATATGATAATTCTATATTTGATGATTGGTTGTTGCTGGGAATATTACACCTAATTGAAGAGAGCTTGTTTTTGGGGAGGGACTTGATTTTATGAATGACCTTGATTTTAGTTTTTATTCTTCTTTATTTATTTGAAATTCTTACTTGAGTTGGGTATGAGATTAGACCATAGATTTAGGATTCACATTGTACTTGGGAATTTGATTGGGTAGTAATCTTATTTCTGATTCGATAGCATTTTGTTGACTATTAAAAATGATGATCTAGAGCCTTAAGTGATTGATTCCCAACTAAAATTATTGCCACCCGAAGGAGTCACTTCAATGACATTATAGGAAACATAACATAGAATAATGGCATAACAAGACATTATAAATATAAGAGTAATGTTATTTTGATATAAAAATTTGACGTAATTTACTAGTTTAATTATATGTTTTCATTGGAACTATTCGATTAATACAAATTTTTAATATTTGATAAGACTTACGGTCAATCCAAAATTCAAAAGTCATAGTGTATTAGGTTAGTAAATTAAGTTAAAATAACATTACTTTAAATATAAACTAACTAAAAAAAATAGATATAAAACTAAAAGTCTCCTAAGCAACTCATGTGACGGGTTGAGGTAGGATCTAGTCATCACTTTCATTCGACACTAGATCACCTTCAACCTATTTTCCCTTAATCAACCATCAAAGTCCCTCTGTTCTGCATGCAATCGACCTAATAGCTGACTGCTGAGCAGACTCTAGGCTCACAATCCATCTATTCATAGCATCTAACTTCTGTGAAATAAGACGATGATGCTCTTCCATAGTACACTCAACCTTAGTAAGCATGTCAATCAATAACACCAACTGGATAGCAAGGATGTCTGAGCCAGACTCGGGTGGTGGTGCTCTAGATGTACTCGCATGGGAATGAACTGGTGGTGGTGCACGAGTTCCCGTCTCTACATCTGGATCCTCTATCNTTTAGGTTTGATAGAGTTGACTTTCATAGCAGATGTGCATTTAGGTGTTTATCAAGGAACAAAAAGTGCACGCTAAGAAAATATGGACCTCTTACTGGACTATACCCATATCATATCTACAACACACACTCTTAAAATAGATATTGCCGTTGAAACCTCAGGAGCCCAACCTGATCTCNTTTGTTGGCTCTTTTTGTATATCGATTATGTATATTGGTTATGCCTTTAATTAGCATTCTATTAATGAAACAATACTTTTGTGAACATTTGGAATTTTAACGGTTGCCTNTGCGCAATGGTCTCATAGGTTTTGTTTCTGATCCCTGGTCAATACCAGTGGTGGATCCACAGTGGGGGTAGTGGGGGCAGCTGCTCCCCTGAAATTTAAAAAAAAATTGGGATGTAAGTATAATTTTAAAAATTTTAGAATTTATTATTTTATTAGACATTTGCCCCCACTGAAAATTTTAAAAAATTTATGAGACTTGTAGTTATTTCTGTGCTTTATTGTTTTATGTATTGAATTAAAATTAGGGTTTGTAGTCATGTATTTATTTTTGGGAAATTTGGAGGCCAGTCCCCCTATATGGACTTGTTTGGACTTAAATCCGTCAAGAAAACTTATTTATTATGAAGTCTGTTTTCTGTAAATTTTATCATACTATCCCTTCCTTNTCATTAACTTCTGTGCAGATTAAAGGAGAATAATTATTTATCTGTAGCAATATTACCGTTTGCATTTTTCTACCTCAACTTTTATACAGATTGGTGGGGGCGAGCTTCCTGACAATACAACACTCATCTGTTCCCGGGGTTCGGACAGGTCTGGTTATATTTTGTAATATTCTGCATTTTTTTTTTCTGAGTGGTGATCTTACGAGAGTTTTCTTGCAAAAGATAATTGAGGAGCCACCTTCAAGCTGGTGGATTTGGCAGATAACTTTAACTGTAGGACTTCTCCTCCAAGCCCCAAGCATGAGCTCTCAAGCACCCCTGAAAAGTTGCACGTGCTTATTCTTGGGGGCCATCCTTGCTTGGTTTGGGTGTCTGTTATTGTATTGTTAGGGGACAGTTTTGGACTGTGATATCAGAAGCTGTTATGCCTCTTGATTNTTTGGCTATAAGGTTCAACGTCCTACCGTTTGGAATCAAAAAAATTTGGAAGAATTTCATTGTGACCCCATGTTCAAGATGGACTTTACCGTACAGCTCAGTAGCCAAAACATGGAGATAAGGCAACCGATCAACCGACTTCTTGCTAAGGGCATCATTCTCTACCTTACGTAGGCCAAGAGTAGTAGCTATGAGATCTGCAGAAAACATGAACTCAATTCCTTAAATATATGTGTCAAAATGATCAACTCAGGGATCTGGGTCACGAATACGAGTATAAAACTCTCTCACCATACTATCATTCGAAGGCTCAGGTGTGCTATCCTCGATTGGTGAAGCTTGTAGGAATTGGTGAAGTTACCTGAGTGAAATGTAGCCCTCACTCAATCATCACAAACAATTCTAGAATTAAGAAATCAACTAAAGAAATNATATCATTTAAACATAAAAAAATTTGAAACATTTAATATTAATATTTTTAAAAAAATAGCAATAGTAACATGTTCAACAAAACTATTCACATACTTAACAAAAACTGTAACATACTGAACAATAATTATTTCTCTCAAATTCAAACGTAAAATATAATACCATTCAAATACAAAAAATAAAATAGTAATATTGAATATTATATTTAGGAAAATAATAGTAGTAACATGGTCAACAAAAACAGTAACATGCTCAAAAATAATAGTACATAAACAGTAACATATTTAACAAAAGCAGTAACATGAACAGTAACATAATAAAAAAAATAGTAACATGAATTTGAATTTTATTATTCAAATTCATAGTAGTTTTTTTTTTTTTTGTATTTGAATGTTACTATTTTTTTTTAATGTTACTATATATATACCTAACCTATATATGGACATAGATAGATAAGAGAGAAGAAAATTTTTAATGTTAGTCAAATTCTTAACCTATATATGGATATGGATAGATATGAGAGAGAAAAAATTAACTTCCTTTCAAAAAAAGGTAGTTTTGAGATAAAAAAAAAAAAAAAAAGGAAACTTAAGTCATTACATATAATTTTAAACATGAACTTAGTCCCTTATAAGTTTCCTTGTATGATTTATCTCCAAACAAGTACATCTAAGGGGACTCACTTCCAATTTTCACTTTATTTTTCTATGGTTTATTTTTTATATATATTTAATTGATATTGGGGATTTTAGCTCTCTCTTGTGTTTTATTTTTATGTTGATTTGGAATTAGGGCGTAAAGTCCTCTCTTTTGTTTTATTCTTATATGTTGAATTGGAATTGGGGCATGTAATCCTCCATTTTGTGTTAGATTAAATTGTTTTGATTTGATGACTTGAATAGTTTTATTGGAATAGATTAAGTAATTCCGATACCTAAATTTAGTTTAATAGAATAGTCATAGTTTAGATTAGTTTCTATTATTTTTTAAAATTCATTAATGAATACTAAGTTTGAGACTGAATAAATTAATTTTTAAAAAAATAATTGCACAATCAAATGGGAGATCAATGAATGAATGATTGCTTGGTTATATATGTCGAAAAAGAAATTTTAAGTACCATTGATAATGAAATTGTCATACAACGTTTCATAAATATGAAAACTTGTCGGGAACAAATGTGAATATTTATAGGATGCTCGACAATTTCAATCCTCCCATGTATCGACTCAATATATGATTGAGTCCAATTTTTTGGTTCAAATTTTTTTTATTAGGTCTTATAGATAACTTTATAGTGAGCTTTTTTTTTTTTTGTTGGCTCTTTTTGTATATCGATTATGTATATTGGTTATGCCTTTAATTAGCATTCTATTAATGAAACAATACTTTTGTGAACATTTGGAATTTTAACGGTTGCCTCCATTTGGGAAGACGTTTGGCTCTACCCGTGGGCAATACTACAACTCTCTTGCCTTTGCATATACGAGTAATCAATAATCCAAAAGACAAATTACTGGACATTCTCCTTTCTAAAAAAGCTCGCTGAATAAACCCAAAAATCATCAATGACAAATCAATATGTAATCCTATCCCTATAGCATATAGCATGTGTGCTCTCTGAACTGAGAAGTCTAAAATATGGGTTTTTAATTTTATGTTGTAGTTGGCTATAAGGTTCAACGTCCTATCGTTTGGAATCAAAAAAAATTGGAAGAATTTCATTGTGACCCCATGTTCAAGATGGACTTTACCGTACAACTCAGTAGCCAAAACATGGAGATGAGGCAACCGATCAACCGACTTCTTGCTAAGGGCATCATTCTCTACCTTTACGTAGGCCAAGAGTAATAGCTATGAGATCTGCAGAAAACATGAACTCAATTCCTTAAATATATGTGTCAAAATGATCAACTCAGGGATCTGGGTCACGAATACGAGTATAAAACTCTCTCACCATACTATCATTCGAAGGCTCAGGTGTGCTATCCTCGATTGGTGAAGCTTGTAGGAATTGGTGAAGTTACCTGAGTGAAATGTAGCCCTCACTCAATCATCACAAACAATTCTAGAATTAAGAAATCAACTAAAGAAATCCACTAGAACGCGTTTGGAGTTGTTTGGAGTTGAAGCTTTAAGGTTGAAGGAATTAAGGAAACAGTTGGATGAACTTCTAGTTATTGGATTTA